CCTGTCCATCATTGTAACCCTGCCCCTTGTTCCAGTTCCTTCCTTGTCATTCCCACCCTGGGCCAATCCCTGGTTGCTCCAACCCCTTGGAAATCCCCTGTTACTCGGTGCCCCATTGGCCCATGTGAGCCTTTCTCCTCCCCGTGCTGTCCTCATTGTAAGGCCCTGCCCTTCACTCCTCCCTCAAGGATTCCTCACTGGATATCTGTTTGTCCCCACCCACCGATTTGCCTCGGTATTTAACCCTGTGCACAGCAGTGCTCAGGGCTCTTTTGCTCCTTCTCCTTTCAACCTCAATAAAGCTTTTGTTGCAACCTCAGCAGCTGAGAGCCTCCCTCGTCTCCTTCACCCGATCCCTGAAGCTGGCAGGATACATTGCACCATTGAGCTCTGCCTTCACTAAACCCCTCAGTGCCATGAGGGTGAAGTGCCACCACTGCCCTTCCCGAGGAGATGGAGGTGCCCCTGGAGAACTGGAGAACTTCCAGCTGTGGTTCCTTGCCCAACCAGCTGTGTTAGGAAAGAACTGCAAACACAAATCTTGGAACTCCCCAGCCTTGGTGCCGCTGGAACACAGCTGGCTCGGGGGCTGCAAGGCTGTCACTTCAGCACTGAATTGTGGTGGCACCAATTGCAGCAAGATCCAAGGTGATGCTGTCACCAAGTCTGTCCTGCTGCCCTTTCTCGCAGCACAGGGGGCTTCTAGTAAATTCTACAGTATTGTGAATTACTTTCTCTATGTGCTTTTCTTCCTACTAGATAAGAAATCCATTGTTTTCTCTCTTGATACTGAGATGTCCATTTGGCAATGGACTGTTCTAAAGGGAAAAATGCACTTCATCGATGGCACTTCAGATGGAGTCACCTGATTCACTTTTTTCACTTCCTTCTGTTCAAACAAAATGTATTAACAGCAAAGTCATTTCAGATGGATTTCTAGCTGGGTCAAACAGATTGTTCAACTGAATTTCCTGGTCCCCGTTTATTGTGTGTTACTTTTAAACCAAAAGAGTTTTCATCTATTTTTTATTTCAGTTGCAGACAGGTCCCCTCAGTGCTCGGATGTTGCTAGGTGATAACCATGTAAATCAATGTATCTCTTGTGCCTCTGGCTTTGGGTGCTCATGTTAACATAGCTATATGCCATGCCTGGTGTTTAAAACACATCAATCAAACCAAACCAAAGAATAAAAACAACCCAAAAGACCCCTCAAAAAACATCCCCTCAAGCCAAGAAGGGTGGACTAAAATAACCTTTTTTTTTCCATGCTTTTGGATTGCCCTTTGCTGTTGTTTCATTTTGTATTGATCCAGGAGTTTCCCTACCAGCAGTTATGGGACCTCTGTGTAACAAGTGTCTCACATGTGCTGCTTTTGTGTTTTATGGATCTGCTGGCATGGAAAACTGACCCATGCAATGGCTGGTGAGAACACTTTTAACACTGGGTCTTTTATGTTACATATTGGTTTTCTGTTCTGGTAGTCCCCACTTCCCCAGATTGAGATGAATGTTTGCTTATCCACTGCCAGGGCTATTTGCAGGGAAAAGCAAAATAAAAGAAAACAGCCACGCTTTTAATGTCTTGTGATTTCAGTGGGAGCAGATAAAAAAATATTTGAGCACTCAGCTGCAGAGGAGTTGCAACATGATAGTTTTGTCATGGGAATATCAGGCCACTGCTCATGGTACTTGACCTCACTATCAGTAACTTGGAAAGTTTTCCCATTGCCACTGGCTGCTTTTTCCCAGAACAACATCTGACACGGAGGCTTGCTACAGAAAAATAAAGGTAACAATTTAACAGCACGTTGTTAAAGAGTGAAATGGGATTAAAATCTCGCTGAGATGCATTTCTATGCGATTTTCTCTTCTATTTTAGAGTTTCGATACTTGTCATAGAGGGTAATAATGCATTCAGCAAAGAACAAAATAAACGAGGGTTTCAGCTTTGAAATCATTCTTGTGCTAATTTACCAATGAGAATCACAGTTCAGAAAAGAAAGGCTGAGCAGCACTGGGACCATAGCTTTCCCTGGGTTTCCAGCTGAGTTTGTAGCAGAATTATCTATCCTCTGGTCCTTCCAGCAGACTGTGGTATCACATTCTGGAACCAGCAGCAGTCTACTGGCCAATCAGAACCAGAACACAAAAATATTTCAGGTCTAGGGAATATCACCAGTTGAGTATAAAGGTGAAGAGTGAAGTATCCAAATATAGAAAATATCTATCATTCCATAGATGCACTACTATGATAAGGCAGGTATTTGTAAAAAGCACATAGTAATGCCACAGCCTGAGTAACAGTTTGCAAGTCATGAGCAAAAATTAGGAGAGTTCAATAAATTTAGGGAATTTTCCTCATCTCCAAGCCTTTGAAGTCTGCTGGATACCACTTTAAATTCTCACTGTCACAGAGATTTCTCTCCCTGTTTTAGTAGAACTCCGTTCATAATAATTCTTTTGATGCCAGACCCTTGAGCATTAAATAAACTGAGCAGGGTAATAAAAGAAGATAACTGGAACCCACTGGCAGTTATAATGATACCACTTTTCAGTTGATGTCCCTTTCAGCTGCTGGGGACAAATCCTAGAAAGGCTCCTGCACTTTTCCATGGACACAAATCGAGCCTGCTGCATAGGTGTTCTCCCCTTCCCAGCAGTTTCTGTTGCCAATATTGCAGTGGGAAGCGTTCTCTGCATTCCAGGCAGAGATGCAAGGTGGAACGATTTGTCCAGGAAATCAGGGAACTCCAGTGCAAAGGAAGAGCTCCTCCTGCTTTGCTCACACCCACCTGCCCTCGGGGGAGATGAGCCTGGGCAAGGAGCACAGATCCTGCCCGAGGGGGGCTCATGCATGAACAGATCTGCACATTGTCCTGGACCCCCGGCCTCCCGATGGGAAGCTGAAGGTGCAGTGAAGCAGCTTTGCCATGGCAACGTTATTTTCATTCTTTTGGAAATGCCCAGTGGTTGCACTCCTGAAATTGTGCTTGGGCAGGTTTGGAAGTGCTGTTTAGTTTGCCAGGTATACCCTTGCCTGTGGCAGTTGTATTCTCCACAGCATGACAAGAGATTTTTGAAAACCTCTGTGCTTACAGGAATTCTGATTTATACCTGCAGCATACATTTACAACAGATCCAAGATCTCCTGCAGGTTCCAAGGTATTCGTTACCCACAAATAATTCTGATTTTGTAGAAGATCATCATTGATAGGTTATGTAACTAATTTTTTAGACTTGAGGCCGAAATTTTAGATATTTTTTTCAATCTGTGCATGCATATTTGCGTCAGCAGAGTTGCAGATCCAAAACACTTGGTGAACATTCATCACATACGAGATGTGAAGCAATGTGTGTGCACATAAACTTCTCTGAACTCTGTGTGACGGCCAGGCCTCCCTCCCTCTGTACACAGCACACAGCTGTGTTGTATAAAACACCCATACTTTGCATTTGCATCTTTTAAACAAAAAATTCCCATGTAAAGATGTGAGTCAAGTTCTCTGTAGAAAACACTGGAGGATGAGCCACTCCATGTGTGGCTAAATAAGTGGTGAAAAATTTATCCCAGGGTCTCCTGCTTTGGGGCACAAATTTCATTACGTGACAGAATGCAGTGCTTTGATTAATTTTCTTTTAATGGTCAGAATCTGTCAGAATTTACAACATTACCACCATGTAAAACAGCCCTGCTAATTCTACCACAAATAATAAAGGAAGTCTTCACAGGCACTACATACTTGGAACAGCATTTTCAGACGACATGGGGTGTGTGTGTTTGTTTGTACAATCCAGCGTTGCCACCTGGGACACTCTTCCAACAGTTTGCAGTGTCATGGACACGACTCAGAAACGTTGACTGGAAAATCATCTACAAAGGTTGAGGACTAACAACCTCCATGTTATACAGATGGTTATCTCCTTTCTCAAAGAACATGCTGTCATTACAAATACCATATGCATCTTGTTCTCACCCAGCAGAACTTTTTTTACAGTTTTTCAGATTTGAAGGATTTCTGCAAGGAACCATTTTAATTTGTTTTCATGTCAGGTGAAAGGAGGCACCAGCTGAGACTGAGGACGCAACTTGTCATCAAAAAATAAATATCCGGTGGCAATCATTCTTGAAAAAAAATTACTTAGAAAGCTAACCATTCACAATACTGCACCTTTTTTGCAAATACAAGGACAATATTTGTTGCTGCTTCCCATATTTGTTGGTTTACACTGCTATCATTTTGCTTGTAAAACCTGGGTTATTCTACTGAACAGAAACGATGACTTGAATTTGGGTAATGCTTACAACCATTCAAATAATCTATCAGTAGCAGTAGTGTCAGCTGGAGAATTAATGCTACAAGTGGATAACATCACGCTATTTGAAACCAATAGCTCTTCACACAGTAGAAGACTGAGGGTCCTATTCAGCAAATATTCAGGGTCCTATGGCTGTGGCCACAGAGGTTCCAGAAGCTCTCGCTGAGTCTAATCCTGATTCAGGAACCAAAATGATATGCTGTGTATATATTTCTCTGCACAGCCTGGGTGTGCTGGACACCCTCCCCCACTTGATTCCTGGGAAGGAAAAAAATATGTCTCTGTTTAGCTTCCAGTGACATGAAAAGCAATCCACAGTAATGAAATCTAAAGAAGTTAGCCAGGCATGTATGAAAAGAACAGGATGCCTGTGAAAAGGGAAGAGCTGTCAAAACCTAATTGTGGGCTCTGGCTGCAATGAAATTTATCAAAGAGGGAAGACAGGTTGGATATAAGGATGTAGACAACTTCTGCTAAGAGACACTTGTTTTGCTCTGGGCAAAGGTAACCTTTAGACTGCACCTCGTGTGCTGTGTCAGGACTCTCCTAGCGACACCTGGCTGCAGCTGAGAGCTCCCAGGTCAGCATTTCAAGCGTGGCACTTCAGCCAGCATCTCCCCCGGGGGCACAAACACCTGGGCAGAGCTGCCCACTGCTGGCAGCACCTGTGCCTTCCTCCTGCCACACAGCCCGTGGGCACTCCCTGCTCAAACTGTGCTGCTGAGGTGCCCAGGCACCAGGAAACACAATCCCTTAGGGACACAGGACAAGACTGTGGGATTCTTCCCAGACTGCAGCATCTTCATAATGCCTGGCAATCTTTCCTGCAACTGCCTACGGCCAGTGCTCACAAGCAAGTAGGGAAATTTTCACTTGCCCTGTGGTAACACAGCTGCATTCTGATGCAGAAAGTAAACCCAGAGGAGCTGTGAACTGCCTGCCCCCAAGTATTAGTGCCCACAGCATCATTCCTGGCTTCAAATGGATACTGTGCTCTATCAACACTGAGGATAACTCTGGGCTGTTCATGATGCTTCCCTTTGACAAGGAGTACTGCCTGACTCAGCCAGTGAGAGCAGCAATGGGAGTAAGTCATGGTAACTTTAGGAAGCAATTTAGTTCGATCTTTGATGAATTTCTGTGTCTCATGAATCAGGATTAGTGTTCCCTGTATTGGGGAGAGGATTAGACAGAGGGATTAAAAGGACATCTTTACCCCACTGGACTCTGTGGAATAGCCCCTGAGGATATGGCTAAGAAAGAGTTCAACAGGAATGCCAAATTTCTGCTGAATAGGTTAAAAGGGTGAGGAAGCCTCTTCGGCAGCCATCCAAGCGCAGAAGACCTGCATAACATTCCTGCTGAATAGGGCCCTAAAGACAAAAAACAAAACAAAACAAAACAAAAAAAAAAACATAGGAACCTTGAAAACCTTTTCTGATTGTGTTGCTTCTTATCAGCGCCTCAGATCTCCAGAGACACTTAAACATATTTTTTTCAGTGCAGTTAGGCATCCTTTGAGATGTGCTAGTGCCATGGATGATATATTGTTACAAGAAAAGAAGTCAAATTAGCTTGTTGTATATAAAAAAAAAAATAATAGGTTTTGATTGTTCTGTAAACAAGGTCCATTTTTTTATATCAATTAACAGTGAAAATAAGTTACCTAAGATTGCATTTAAAATGCAAAACCAAACCCTCAATCGAGTGTATAATGTTTGGTGTTTTCATGTCTATAAATTACAGACAACAATTACCTTCTGTCTCCCTACAGTTGAAAGGAGCAGACTTAACTTGGGCGTTTTGTTTCAGTTTTAAAGCGTTTCCAAACCCTTCTCTCGGATTTACCTCGTGCGCGCGGATCTTGGGCTTGCTCATAAAATTTTATCCAACTCGTTAGGCCGTGAGGGAGAACATTCCTGATCATGGCAGGGGGGAGGCAAGAGATCAAAGCCTTACCTCCACAAGAGGATGCCAGTGAGCGATGGGCTTCCGAGGGTACGAGAGCATTTCGTTCCAGTGGTCGCGACCTAGACTCTCTGCATCGTTGCCTACTTGACAAACTCCAATGACCTCATTGTGACCTACACTGTGAAAATGGCCCATAATATTTTTTTCTTAAAATTTTACCTTCGGAACCACACACCATTTGCATTTTTCATCAGAAACGTTAATCGTGGGGTATTTTAGGATTAATTCTCTCCTGGGGAATATAACGCGCTAGGAAATATGTAGGCTTTGCTCTTCGCATTTCCCACTGCTCGGAATAATTTGGTATTTCCCCCCTTGTAGCACTGTGTTCTGGAATTAGCTGCAAAGGCCAACAGGGCCTAAGACACAACTTTACATATGGAGCACGTGTGGAAAGGCTTAGCATGAATGTGCCAACAGAACAGCAGTGCGTGGCCTCTCTGATTTAATGCCCAGTTACCTCAGCCCTGCTAAACACATATGCAGCTCACTGATGTCAGTTATGGGTGCAAATCTGTATTTTAAAATTTAGTAAGGAATTTCTGCCTGACAAAACAAAATAATTGGAGACTTCTACCAAGCTCAACATGACATTAATTCCCTGCTTATAAGAAAAAAAAAATAATAACTTTCTTTCTGGGTGCAAATCTAGCGTGCAAGACTTTATGAGCCAACATTTGACAGCTACAGGCATCTCACCGGTCATAATCCATAACAGCTATCGACAAGTTAATTTGGTCAATGTTTTCTGGAGGGACGTCAAAGACTATGGCTTCATTGTAAACGGGATTTAGGGTGTTCCTCTTGGTGGAAGTTTTCCTTTTCTTTAGCCGCCTTCCTTCACACATTAAAGAAACCTTCACATAGGGATCTGTGTGGGTCATAAGAACAATGTTGATTTTTGGCAAATGCAAATGGAAAGTGAAGGGAGACTTCTTGTGTGCCCATACCTGCTTGCAGGGTTAATCTCCTGGAATCTGAGCTTCTCTGTTACCATGGGATGCATGGGAGGCAGTGCAGCTTTGAAAGCTTTACCTGGTTGACTGCTTATAATGAACTTTTTAGGTTCAAGAAGCTCCCTGTTGTGTACCAGCTTCTCAAAGGGTATTAAAATATCCACTGAAGCGTGTTGTACATGACTATTTTATACAACAGCCTGTGTATCAGCCTATTTATAGCAGCCTAATTACTTGTTAGATCTGTAGGACAGACAGAAGATGACAATGTTTTTCACAACGGGATTTACTGATGTATGGTTAAATACAATTCAAAGTGTAACAATTAGTGGCTTATATTTCTCAAGAGAATTATAATTATTTTTAAACTCCTGAATATTGCAAAAAAGAAAACTATTTCTTTGTAGCTCCTTTCTGAGAGCTCTACAGCTCCCTGCTAGTATTGAAAAGTCATCTATGAAATCTTGTTTATGTGTATAATTTTTATTGTGGGATTTTGAAAGGGTTGCTGAAAGGATTCTGGGATGATGATCACTGCTTTCTCCATATGCCAGCAGCAGCAGAACTGGCTCAGTGGCTCCTGGGGACTGTCAGAGAGGGCCAATCTGCCTCTGTGTTACAGCTGTAACAGTCTGCTGCACAAATTCCCAGTGTTGGGAATGCATTTTGGGCAGTTTGTCTTACTCTGAATTAGTGGCATTAGAAATAGTAAACTTGCAGTCTTTTTGAGAGAGCAACCTATTTGAAACTGTTTCTTGGAACTAAGCAAACTATATTTATTTCTCATAAACTGTACTCAAGTAGAGCTCACAGTATAAGAACCCTGCTCTCAAAAATCATTCTGGGATTCGACAGTGTTGATTCTGTCTCGGGAGGGAAATGGGACAGAAATCCACACTGAGCATTAAATTCATTCCTACCTGATGCTCCTGTGATATCCATTGCCTTTAAATTTCTTGCCTTTATTATTGTAATAGTTAGTCTACCAGCTGTTGGAAGGTAGCAGAGCGAAAACATAAGGTCACCAAGATCCACGTTATCCTGTTCCAAGAAAAGAAAGATCATGTGAAGCAATAATAACAATTTTTCTTCTCCTAGCAGGATTTAAAGATAAAAATATACCTTTGGGGTTCTACAGTTATGCAGTAAAAGATGAATTCTCATTCTGAAACATATCTGGAAAAACCAGCCATCCACGTGCATACAAAATTCGAGTCACTCTGTTGTTAGACACCAAAGTTCTCCAGGGTAAATGAGGTTATGGTTTCTGGAACTCAGTCCTTGGAGATGACACACATTTAAAGAACGAGATGCCCTGTGAGGGACTGGAAAACCTTTGTTCTATTTTATGTTTTTTAGTGATTTGCCTATTTCACTGACAAGCAGCCACGAATATCTGTGCCTTTCGTTCTGGTCTGCAGGAGGAAACCCACAGAGACAATCACAGAAAAAAACCCCAAAACCAACCATGGTTTGGGCAGGACAAAGCTCTGTGCAACTCCAAGTTTGCAAGAACTCAGGTGTGACAGGCCACAAGTGTCTATGGCAAAGGGACAATCTCCACCAGAAGCAGAATAAAGGTTGTTATTATTAATTGCTGATCATAATAACATAATAACATAATAACATAACAACATAATAACAACAACAACAACTTCCTGTGCCTCATGCAGACAAGCTCCTTTAAGTAGACTTATCCATCTCTGTCATTAATAGAGTAATTTGCAACCCATTCCAGTGTTGATGGCATCAGGGTTCCAGAAAAGTATTAGAAAATTTGCAGTTACAAAGCATCACTATTTTTTTTTAAAGAGGGAAATCCATCTGTTTCATTAAAAAATAGCAAAGGAAGGATTGTATTAAGTGATTTCTTTGATTTGATTTGCATTTTTTTGACTGAGCAGTAAATTCACACTTTCATAGACCTGCTTCCTGTTACTTAATATTTCATTCTGGACTTGAAAAGACCCCAAAAACTTACCTGATCCTTGAAATTAGCAATTTGGAGGCCACATTCCAGGTTTTATAGGGAAGGGAAATGCAGCTGTTGTGGAGTATGTTTATCTTGCTTAGCTTTGTACAATGCTTCTCATCTTTCCCAACCTGGTTCCTTCTCTGCCAGTCACCAAAAGCTGAAGGGTGGTGGGTGACATAGAAGGAGAGGGAAAACACCTGGAAAGAGCCCCGAGCACAGGTTTGTCTCTGGGGCTGCTGCTGCTCAGACTGATGCCCAGAGCCTGGGCAGTCACTTTCTGTCACTCCAGGAGTTAGCAGGGGACATAAGCAGGACAGAAAGCATTGCTGGCACAGAGCTGTAGAAAAATTCAGAAGGGAATTCTAGAGGTCACTTGATCCAACCCCTTGCTCAAGAGAGGCATCTTTGCTTCTGCTCACAACTCATTCAAAGAAAAAACCAAACACGTACATCCATTCAAAAGTAGGTCCTTTCCTTGTGCTGTTACTTAAGAGAAGCAGTCAAAGAAGGAAAAGGCTGATATTATGGGCCATTTGTCAGGAATAACCAGCTTTTAACCCTATCACCTTTTCCATTCTAAAGATCAGTGTTTCACGGTGGCTGAGAAGCTAATAAAGGCTGGGACAATAGCGAGGTGGCTGCTGTGACTCAGACTGTTTAGAGCCTCTTGATAGCTCCCACTTGGAAGCAAAGCTGCTGCAGCAAACTGTGTCACTGACTCACTGGGTGGGAGGATCAAAATTCTGCTTGGGATTCTGTGAGAAGTCCCACAAAGGTTAAAGAGGTGTCAGCACCTCCAAGAGAAATTTATTCCCTCGGCTGACACCTGCCCTTAACATTACAGGAAAATAATTGATCTCTGAAATTTTTTAATCTGGAGCTTGATACCGATAATCAGGAAAACAGGAAGTAAAGTTTCCACTTGTCCTTCCCACTGTGAGAGCAACTTCCAACATGCAAATGTGCTTCCCCAGCTCCGAGGTGCTGAGATTCGTAGCTGTGAAATTCTCTCTTGTGCTGCAACTCTGAGGGGACCAGAATTTCATAAGCCATTGAAAGATATTATTGACTAAACCATCTTTTGGGAATTTGTCACTCTCACGAATTTTGAGAGGTTGTTTTTCCTGAATTCTTCCTATAGAAGACTGTTGAATCAGTCAGGTTTTCCCTGACCACAAAGAAGCCCATCAGGCATTTGTTGTTTTAACCATGTATTTTGGCCTCCTTCAATATTGTCGGCCATGGCAAAGTCACTCTGTATTCAAATCCAGTGCTCCACGTGGTGACTAGAAATTCATTCTGTGAGTACTGTACATTTACTGCCTCTACCAAATACAAAAGTTTCCATTCCAGACTTGATCATCCTGAATGAACATTTAAAAAAAAAAACTTTTACCCAATTTTTATCATTTTTTTTTTAGCAAATGCTATGATGATATTAACAAATTCTTTGTAAATGCTTTTTGAAAAACTGCACTGGGCATTATAAGGGAAAAAAGTGAGTTACACTGGAAACAGAGCCTGTGATTTCTTTAGTGTTTTCCAGTTCTAGAAGTTGGAGGATATGAGATTGTCTGTTCACAAGCCAGTGCCTGAGAATGTGACCGAATGGAAGCTTGCAGGCAGCAGCAGGGAAAACTTTTGCCATGAAAATCCTTCCCTCAGTCTGAAAAAGAAGCCCTGTCTTCTCATACTTTCATTTTAAATTGCAGGGAATTGATGACTACTCCATCATACTGGCTACTTATAAAGGTTTACTAAAGTTTGGAAAGAATTTTTATAACACAGAGAGCCTTTCCTCTTGCCCTGGCTATTCCTCCGTGTCTTACCCCTGTTTGCTGTAATCAAAGAGCAACGCTGAAAATCATTGCAAACAACGGGTCCTCAAGGTTCCTTCAGGAAGGTTTAACGAGGGAATGTTCTTCAGAGTCCCACAAGCTGTGAGTGCCCCCCCGAATTTGTGTGTTCATCTCTCAGGTGGGGACAGACACCATGCTCTGGCTGCAGACCAGTGTTGTCACAGCGTGACCCTGACATCCAGCAAACACAGGTCTCTACAAATTCAGCTTTTTAAGAGAACCAAAGCCAACGTGTCAGAGCGCAGAGAGGATTAGTGCACATCTTCACAAGTCGAAAATCACTGAGCTACACGGCTTAAGCCACGGATTGTCACTAAAGGTGTGCTGTATTAGCAAGAAATCGCTTCTAGGAACAGAATTAACAAGCACAGAGGGCAGGATCTTCTGCAAGGATTAGTTCCTGCTCAAATTGAGTGCTTAGGCATTACTGTGTATGCTCCACAAAACGTGCCACTACAGGCATTGCACTGCCAGAGACTTTTTGGAATTCCTGCTGAGGAAAAGATTTCATAAATTGTGTAGGTTATCAAGTCATGCACGTTGTGCTTTCCAAATTGGTGCCTAACCTCATTCATTGTGGTTGTAATACCACAGTGGGCATGTTGCAGTGCCACCATGACAGCCCTAATGTAACCAGACCAAAAGGCTGGTCAGTTTTATTAATAACTCAAAAGAAAATAATCAGAAGATAATGAAATTGCAATTTTAATTACTTATACGTACATGCCCTATATTAGTTTTCTTTTGGTCCCATTCAGCAGGAAGCATAAGTGGATAAATATCCTCTAACAAACATACTGCTCTCTCCAAAAACTGCCCAGGTTCAGAGGTAGAAACACAGCCTTTATTTTTAATCTATAACCTGCATGTTCCTGTGTTCTAAAAAAAGGGAAACAAGATTGGGATGGGCTTTGCTTTTCCAGTGCCCCAGGCTGGGGGTGAGGGCTGAGTGCCTTGATGTCCTGAGCTGTGCCTTACAGGGGGCTCTGATAATCCCACCTGGATTTGTCTCTGAGCCCTTGCTGTGTTCATGCAGTTCTTTATTCAACAGAGCAAGAGCAGGAAGCTTCCTCCTTGAAAATGTCTCAGTGTTATGGGGGAGAGCTCAAACCAGAGGTGTAAATCACAAGGTTTGCCTGAAACAGGATGAATCCCATGAAACCTCAAGGTAAATAAGATTGCTGTTAGGAGCATGGAGACATGCCTCCCTCTCATATTATGCTTCCTTCCTGGTAGAAATACTTGATATATTATAAAAATCATATTTTTGCATTATTTTTCAGTGGCTTCTACTGAAAGGCTCATAGTTCCTGCTTTTCCCAGAAAACATTATGGGTTTTCCCCCCTGTAAAAGTAACCCAAAAACACCTTTGAAAATCCTAAATTCTAATAGTGACATTAGCAGGCTTTTAGTCTATAATCACACAGTATTTATAGTTTGTTAAATCATTCAGTTTTTCTGGAGATTAGCCTGCAGGATAAATCACTCCCCAGCACTGTGTCAGCAGCTCCATGCTGTTGCTTGGTGAGTGTAACTCAGCATATTAAACAGGGAGATGTGTAACCTCACACAGGATGGTGACCAAGGAATGGCCTCACCTTTGATGCCTCCGAGGCTGCATTAAACAGCTCAGGCTGGACCAAACCTTCCTAGTGAAAGCTCTAAGTCACCTGGTTGTTAGGGGTCTTCTGACAAATGGGAACGACATTTGGGATCAGAGCTCTCCTCTTCCTTCTCATAAATACATTCGAGTGCAGGAAATGGGTGTGTGAAGCAGGCAGCAGGGCATGGAGGAAAACAAGACCATTTATAGGTTATATCTTCTGCTCCTGCCTGTGATCTGGGAGGTTTGCTGTGCCCGAGCCAGGCATTCCCAGGGTTTGTGCCCATTTCTTTGGCACCTTGAGCTGTGTATTTCTGGAGCAGAGGAGCTGTGACAGGCCTGTCCCACTCTAATCAAAGCATATGTCTCAATTACACAGCTCCCTCAGCTCTCCAGCTATAAAAAGACAGACACTACTTTTTCAGACACTACTTTTTCACTTTTCTGCTATGTTGCAAAACTAATTATGGGTTGTGAGGTGCCCACGTGTATTTTTATGCATCTCACCAACCTAACATTAACTGGAGCACTTAGCAGGCACTGATGCCCTTTCCTTATTTCCTATTAAGTTAGTAACTCTGGGGGGAGGTTTTCCAGGCAGAA